TTGTAGATTACAACTAACCCCACTGTATCTATTTTTCTAAACGATTTCTAGCTATTGGTTTACAAAGATTTCGAATAGGTAGGATGTACGTAATTATTAGAATTATAATTATGATTTATTTGTAGATTACAACTAACCCCACTGTATCTATTTTTCTAAACGATTTCTAGCTATTGGTTTAAAAAGATTTCGAATAGATAGGACGTACGTAATTATTAGAATTATACAGACTTTACAGACAACCTGATATATTGTTAAAGCAGAATCAGAAATCGAGTGGACCAACGCGATAAGCAAAGCTTTTGCAATATTCTGTATCGCCTGTACCACCAACCAAACATCGGCATGGACTTTACAGACAACCTAACAGGTATTCCAACTAACCGTCAGACACTGTTTCCATTGACTCGGGTCATTCGAAACGTTCGCAGAGATATTTCTAATTATTTCACCTATTCCAACCCATCTTTTTAAAAGAGTTCGCAAACAGTTGCTTCGACCAACCCTAGACGCGATTCCTCGTCGCCGTTGGAACGTTTCGCCGAGGCGAGAGAGCGTTTATCGTAACCGTATCGTTTGGATAACGCGTGGGTGGAACCGGAGGAGCGACGTTAGAAATATTCCAAAGGCGCGACCGCGAACAGGAGATCGTTAGAAATTGCTATTTGCACACCAGATATTCGACTTATGGGCCAGTACCCGCGGTTAAGGTCTCCGTTAGGCTCTAAACTTTCTAAACGTCCCGTCCCTCGAGATAACCGGCGATTCCGCTTTCCGAAATCTCTTTTCCACGATATTTGGGTCGCGTCGCGAGAACCGACAAAAAAGACACACGCACCAGTTACGACACGTTTCTTGGAAACTTGGATACACAAAAGCGGTCGATAATCGGGACATTTCTTTCCGATTTCACTTCGCAACAGATTCGCAACAGATTCGCATCGTCCAGCGGATGCTTTCGCTGGCTGGAGCGCTCGAAAGAAAACCCTAACGTCTTTGTAACCCGGTTAGGGTCGTTTTACGGCGAAACCTCGCGAAAGTTTCTCGAATCGCTCCTAGCCTCTCCTCTGGCCGTTTGTTCACGCTCGTTCGTCAACGATTCTCTTCTTTCGTGTATTCTAATCACCTAGGATGACCTTGAAACAAACGTTACGCAATCGATTACGGTGTTCGTCGCTTTGTCGTCTAAAATTGTATTACTTAACGGGCAATAAAATTCGACTGACCGAATCGCTACGAATCTCGTTCGGATGTTAATGGCGCGCGCGGTCGCCCGCATGCCTAATTAATTAGGGAGCGTTAGAAATCACGCGAACGGAGGAAGTTCGATTCCCCCGTTTGGAAGGCGAAGCCTCTCGGCTTGCGATACTCGATTGTGATTAGCAGAAGCAATTACTTCCGGCGGTTATATTCTATTAGCTTCCCCAAGAAGATTCGTTTCGAATAAATTCAATTTGTTTTAATTAAATTTTAAGTAACTTTTAGGTAAATTTTAAGTAAATATTAAGTAAATTCAGATGTTAAATGAAATTCAATTTTTGTTCGCTTTTAAACGAACTTGTTTCGCGACAAACGAGGACAGTTAGTCTTGAACGAATCGCGATAAGGAAATTACTAATATCGACAGGCTCAGAAACTAAGGAAAGAATAGAGAACGATCCGGAAGAGAGAACGATCCGCAACGAAATTCGGTTCTCCGGCGTTCAAGAAACTTCACCTGTCCCCGATTCGACCGTGTGTACCTGTTTAGGGCTCCGTTCGTCGCCCAGGGCACGCGAAAGAAAAAGCGTCCAGCCCCCTGGCCACCCGGAAGAGAAACCTTCCAGAACGAGCTCCGACGTCGATTGAACCGTCTGCGAAATAAAAAAGAACAGGTAACGAAAGGGAACCACGGGTAGGGAGGCACGGTAACATCGCTGTACGGAGATCATTAATTTGTTCGTTTACAGTCTAGTTTATCAATCTATCAATCGAGAGGAACTTTACCTATATTCTGAATTGCATTCTTGGCTCGTGATAAAAATACGCGTCTAACACAGAGACGTGTACTAATGTATCGTCTTGAAATTTATTTATCCATTATTTGAGTGGAAATTTACCTATTTTCTGAACAGCGTGTCACGATCCTTGGCTCGAGATGAAAACGTGAATAATTTTGCGTCTTGTTTTCACCTGTGAACAGAGGGTACCATTATTACCGTTAGTCAATTTACCGAAGCTCTTCGTTATTAAAATTATTAAAATCTCTGGGGTGCTCATGAACGGCGCCATATCGTACCCCTCGAGCTCCACATACCCATGTGTAAATACGTTTCCTATTCTAAGCCCCTATTCTCCTCGCCGCCGATATCGAAATATTCTATTTTCCATTACTCCTGCATATAAATTCAGCGTTTCTCAACTTCGTTTCTAAATTCCACGCTCGATTTCTTTCCCGTCAGCCATCCCGATCGGATTATCTGGAGCACCAGGTATAACCTTGATGCATAACCTTGCCGTCCCGTGAACTTCGCCTTCGGTGAACAGACCGGCACGAATACAGGGAGAACGAAACCGCTCGGCGCGCTCGACCGGATCACCGTTCCCGATCACTTTCTCCGGAACGCTGGCCCGCCGTGGCGCAAAGAAAGATCGCCAGGTTCACCGGGAGGTGGTCGCGACGGAGCAGAGGGGAGGAACGGTCGTAGCGATGGAATCGAATTCCTCGTGATCAACGATACAATCGATTGAAAATGCTAAAACTATCCAGGGAAATTAACTTTACTCGGGCGATGGTCAATTTTACAAGACTCCCTGTCTAAGAGGCGCGTGGCTATCTTCCCGCGCCTCTTACAACTGCTTGCTCGAGGTTAGCCTTCGTATTGCAATGGTGTTATAAACATTTAGTCTTCGTCGTACTCCCAATCTAAAATGACTAAAAAGATATGCTTGTTATTGACAGAAGTACGAGATACATACTGAGGTATATTTTTAGAGAAGGTAATTTATACGCAATTATCCAAGGAATCGAAGAATTGTGTGGAAACACGGAGCGCAAATAAGATATAAAGAAAAATTGATGCGTCTCACAACGAGCTTTTATTACATACCATTAATTTACATAATAAATGTACAAATACCTATAGAATTCCAACGTTTGCAGACGCTGAAGAAGCGCAGTTGTAAATGCGACGCTGTAAACAGAAAGATTAAACTAGGTACAGTTTTATACAGAATTTCTAACTAGTTTAAAAATTTCATTCACCTGTTAAGTATATATATATAAACACCTATATATATAGAATTAGAATTCCAACGTTTCCAGACGCCGATGAAACGCAGTTGTAGATACGACGCTGTAAACAGAAACCTAAACCAGGTAAATTTTTATGCAAAATTTCCAAGCAGTTTAAAGATTTGATTTACCTGTCGATCGAATAAAATTTGTCCGATCTCCGGGATCGCCGCGAGCTTTCCATAATGGTGAGCCGGTCGGAACCCACCAACCGTCGCGACCGTCTCCTCCTCCACCTGGGACCATTTTACCACCACCTTCACCCACCTGGCCCGAACGCACCACGAGGCGCCTTCTTCGCGCATGGGGGAGAATACGCGCCTATATAACTACGGCGTTCCGCTGATTGGACGAAGTAAGTTACGTTTTCCTGCAGTTAGGGAACAAGAGTACGCGGCCCGAGCCCGACGGGCGGCATTGCGAGAAATATGAGGATTCGCCCGGGATGCGCGGTCAGTTCGTATTTAAAATAAGTTTACACGCGGTTACTGCGTACGCCATTCGGTGGTTTAGTGTCGGAAGGTCGCGTGTACCTGCGGAAAGTTGAGAAATTTTGCCGATGGAGCGACCTGAAACAATCTCACTCCGTATTATTTTTAGAGAGGACGTTTGAAGATTCTCTATTAATTTGTCTCTTTATTTTATTTAAAAGAGCGGTACCTTTGTGATATTCGCAAGGAGATTTCGGTATGTAAATTCGCTATATTCAGTTGTCATTCTCTCGCTTCTTGTGTCCAGAGCCATGGTACTCCATAGAAAGGGATGGAACTCGTCGTCGATGGTTTGTTGAGATTAACCAGGTCGTATAGTTTCGCGAGTCGTTGAGTAAATTCACGAGACTCCGTATTCATTTTTCTATTTTTTTTCTTTTTCTGTACGTATCCAAAGAAATACTCCATAGAAACGGAATCGATATCGACATGATATCGTTGAGATAAATCGGGTCATATAGTTTCGCGAGTCGTTGAATAAATTCGCGAGACTCCGTATTAATTTTCCTATTTTTTTCTATTTTCTTTTATATATATATATATATCTAAAAAAAAAAAATACTCCATAAAACAGAATCAATATCAATGATTTTATCAAGATAAATCAGCTGCAATACCTTTGTGACATTCACGAAAGCCAATACTAATTTTCACGCTTTTATATCTATACTCGAAACAGTGGTACTCGATAGAGTACCGAGCTCGAGAAACGAGCTCGATTATTAGATAACAACGTGTAAATCGAAAGCTCGAAACCCGGTACCAACAGAGGCAGTACCCGCGAGTAGTCCATCGGCGCACGCTGTTTGTCGACGAACGTGTTACTTAATTATCGATCAACGGCGAGTTTCGAAAGCGACGTTCGATTAACGAGAGAACGCTAAAAGTCACTTTTACGCCTCCGTAAAGGCGAGTACGTTTTTTGGTCCACGCGAGCGTCGACCTTCCAAGCTTTCGTTGACACTAAAAAAATATTTGCCAGGTTTTAGAAGCAACACGATTAGCATTTAATACCTGGTACGACGGAACGTGCCACTGTGCGTGTCGCTGTACGTCGAGTTCCGTGATTTTTACGTGACGACGTTGTTCGCAGGCTGCACTAGCGGTGCTACTGCATGCCGTTGTTGTGGCGAGCAAAGCGTTGGATCAGAGTCCGTTGCAGCAGCAGTCTCAGCAACGATCTCAGCAGCAAATTCCGTACGTCTATTACATCGATTTATTTTAATTGAATTCAGAAAGAAAAATAATTACGGATTTCGGGGATCTGCGACCGGATGGATTTCTTGAATTTATTATAAAACAACGGTATCATTAATAGAGCAGTATTACCAAAGGAAAAATATTAATAACCACCGTTAGTTTACGTTGCTTTCGGTCCATCTTCTAAAAACATAATTCGTTGAATCGAATATAGAATTATTCAGCCTTCGAAGGGCAATACTTGATTAGAGAATACTCTTTAATTCCAACTATGAAAATTTACATCTCTTTAAAGCATTCCAGCCTCCAAACACTGCCGAACTATGACTTCGAAACAAAACAAATATTACCCATACGTTATAAGTGATTATCAAACTAACAACCTACCGCTACTGATAAATTAAGCAAACTGTTCCACACAGATATGGAACGGAGGCTCAGAAGAGATGGGGTGGTGACCTGGGTGGCGGCCACGGCGGCGACGTAGGTGGCTATGGCGGCGATATCGGCGGTTTTGGTCACTCTGGCGGCGACTCTGGGGGAGGCTACGGTCACTCCGGGGGTGGCGACATTGGCGGCGGTTTGGGTCACTCTGGAGGTGGCGATATCGGCGGCGGTTTTGGTCACTCTGGAGGTGGCGACATTGGCGGCGGTTTGGGTCACTTTGGAGGCGGCGACATTGGCGGAGGATTGGGTCACTCTGGAGGTGGCGATATCGGAGGTGGTTATGGCCATTCCGGTGGTGGCGACATTGGCGGAGGATTGGGCCACTCTGGGGGTGGAGATATCGGTGGTGGCTTGGGACACTTGGCTGGTGGCGACCTTGGCGGTGGTGGCGGCGACGACCATCACGACGATCATCATCACGATCACGGCTACTGGAAGAAGAAGCTGATCTGGAAGCCAGGCTGGAAGAAGATCTGGAAGCCCGCGAAGAAGCAAATTTGGAAGCCTGCGTGGAAGAAGATCTGGAAACCCATCTGGGTACCGACGCAGAAGGCGGTCTGGAAGGAGATTCAGGTACCGGCTTGGAAAAAGATCTGGAAACCGGTGTGGAAGGAGATACAAGTGCCAGCTTGGAAGGAGATCCAGGTGCCGGCTTGGAAGAAGATCTGGAAGCCGGTCTGGAAGCCTATCAAAGTACCAGCGTGGAAGGACATACAAGTGCCAGCTTGGAAGAAGATCTGGAAACCCGTATGGAAGGAGATCCAGGTGCCGGCTTGGAAGGAGATCCAAGTACCTGCCTGGAAGAAGCTGTGGATCCCCGAATGGGTGAAAGTGGGAATACCAGGCGAGCACTATCACGGCAAGGATCAACATGGATGGGAGTACACCAGCCACGATCTCTGGAAGAAGAAACTGATATGGAAACCGGTATGGAAAAAGTACTGGAAACCCGCCAAGAAGCAGATCTGGGTACCTGACAAGAAGCTGGAGTGGGTCGAAGCGTGGAAGCAGATTTGGAAGCCGTCCAAGAAGCAGATCTGGGTGGACGACAAGAAGCTTATATGGAAGGAGGAGTGGAAGCAGATATGGAAGCCTGCCAAGAAACAGATCTGGGTGCCTGACAAGAAGCTGGAGTGGAAGGAGGCTTGGAAGCAGATCTGGAAACCGGACAAGAAGCTCGAATGGATCCCGGACAAGAAGCTGGCGTGGAAGGAGGCTTGGAAGCAGATTTGGGTGCCCGCTTGGAAGGAGATCTGGGTGCCGGCGTGGAAGAAGATCTGGAAGCCTGTTTGGATATCGGAGTGGTTCCCGTCCGAGGACCATCATCACCCTCACGGATGGGAGGATCGCAAGGATACTCAAGCGAAGGGGTCGCAGCTGGTGCAGTCTGTTCCAGAGGCTGCCTCGAAGCTGAGCGGTCAAGGTCAGCAGCAGCAGCAACGTCAGGTCGACGACAACAAGGTCAGGTGGGACAGGTCGTCCAAGACGGAACTCCAGACGATCAACCAGGACCTGGTGCCACCGCCGGTCACGCAAAATCAAAGCGTCGCTACGGCCAACTTCGCGTTCCCCAATCAGTGATCGTCGTTTGGATGCTTGTACAAAAATCTTGCTAAGAGTACTGTAACATAAGCCGCTGTATATATTGTCTTAGGTGTACGTTAAGTTTTAGAGAGTTAAGCTTCCCCAAGGATTAATCGACTGACTTACACACTTCAGACCCTTTTCCTCTACTTTCTTCAACGTGGTGCCGACGCTAACGCGTTCCATCCTTTATGTATATTTTCTTTTATACGATGTTGTTGTTACCCTTTCTTTGTTAACCACTGCCGTTACAAATAAAGTTGATTAATATTTTGTTAAAACACCGTGGGTCTTCGTCCTTTCATCACCGTCTGTCCCACTCACATCCACTAGATGATTTCTTTCATTTCACGAGATAGTAGACAGAATTACGAGTAGCATCATTCAACTATCACGATTAGATTGTTTTTGTGAAACTTTTCACTCGAACCTGTAGCTTTTTCTGCTTCGACTGGAGTAGCGGTAGTTGGATTCACGATTGTATTTTTGTCTGCGAACCAATATTACTGGAAGCCGAGTCGTTCTTTATTGCCCGGTGCTGTACAAATTGAGCTTAGGTTTTTGCGGATACACCTCGCTTCTTCGCTACATATCGACTTCGCTTTCCTTCGTAATTGTACTTGTATCGCGAACAAATTGCGCAGACAAAGCCATCGAATAAAACATGAATGTATTTATATATTCTATCCTGTACTAAAAGGATTTCCCTTATTAACCAATTTCGTTTCTATCGAATATAAATTCTGGAATAAATTCTCCAACAAAAATTGAACGTTTCTAATACGCCTCGATCGTACAGTTCGATTGCAACCGTGCACGTAAATGAAACTCATCGTTTGGATAGGCAGTGCTTTCCGATCGCTTTCTTTTCTTAATCGTTTCAGGCATCCTCGTTTCCTGGCGTCGATACTCGACGACACGTATCAGCGTTGTCGCTTGATTAATCTCGGCGGGTTACGAATAGAGGCTTGTTAATAATTCGTTAACACCTCCGCATTATTATTTCGCTTCGTCATCGAAGGTGCCCACGCTCGACATGACGCAATGCGCCGGCCTACGGCCACGGACGCGACGCCGCGAACGCAGGAGAAAGTTGGATCTGTTATGGAAGGAAGTCTGGCTTGATAGGGGCAGACCTCGACCGTGGAGAGAAAGTGTCTTTGCACCCACACGTGTGCGCGCACCGCACACGCTTCGACGGCATAAATTAATCCGTGCTACTGTACTCTCGGTCATTAAGGCATCCACACACACGGATATCGATAGCAATATCAATGATCCGGGGATGATCTACTTCTTCACTTTACCTTCCTTGCTTTAACTGTTTGTGTTTGTTTGCATTTGTATGACAACTTAGATTTGTTTAGCCTTGGCTCTTCTTCGTGCTTTCAATATTCCCTGCACCTACTATGTGAACAACAAAGAGATTTAATAATAATAATATTGTGGATTGACGAGGTGTGTTATAGAACAGTCGAGCACTGTTTGAGTTTGTGTTCGACAGTTTGAGGATGATCTACTTCTTTACTCTAAGTACCTTGTTTGCTTTACTCTTTGTATGACAACTTTGTTTAGGATTGATTTGTACGACAACTAACTGTGTTTGTTTGCATTTGTATGGCAACATTGGTTTGTTAAGCCTTGGCTCTCCTTTACGTTTTCAATATATTCTCCTTG